AATATTATATCTAAACACTGTACCTAAATACTATATTAACACATTGTATTGTGTGTTAAAAAGTTATCAGTACTTTTTGGTAAAATGTTAGTAAATTATAATTTAGAGAATAAGCAGAAAAATTTATCTTATTTTCCAAATGAAAATGAACAAGAAGAATGGTTAATACGATGTAATCATTTATATGATACAATAATAACATATAATATGCCATTAAAAAGAGCTAAAAAGCCATTAAAAAGAGCTTGATATTTGATAACTTATAAAATAAAATTGACCATCTCATCCGAAATTATCTTGTACGAAAAAATGTATTCATTTATACAATTATGGATACTTATTGAAAGAAAATAGCAATCATTCTATCAGTTGCGATATCACAGCGGCATATTTGTGGGCATTGTAACTATAAAATGTAAATCTGAATCGAAAAGCGTTATTATGTTTTAAAAGAATAAATAGATTCCTCCCAATCATTTTTAATCTTAATAAAGAAGTTTATTATATACTCAGAACACGAGTGATACAGACTAGACGAATATTCAGAATGAGAATGGTTCTTGAACGTAATTGATACGAAAACGTAATTTAGCCATGTTCATGAAGCGTTCATAAAGAGCTTAGTTACAATAAATCAAGAATTATTTTGAAGACCATTATCTATAGTGTTATTATATTCCTAATAGCAGATATTTCAACAACAAAGTTATTCATCTATTTAGATTTTATACTATCACAGCGACAAAATTAATTATTTCCTTTGCGATCGATATTCACAGATCTTTAATGTAAGGTAGATTTTGATACAAAAGTTTTAGTTTAACGTAGTATACGTACAATAATAAGTTGAACGGCCCATATAAAATAGTCTGCTTCATAGATATATTAAATTACTCAGAATTTAGTGTCGATAAGATTTATTTATTATCAAGTTAAAGCTTAAAGTTAACCAAACATAACTTAATTAAATATCTCATCGATTGTTTTATTATAAAAAAAATAGGGACTCGTGATAAGGATAAAAGATAAGGGATTCACGAATCTCTACGAATAATACATTGAATTCGAGTATATCTTTCCAGGAAACTTTAAACTTAAAATCTTAGTTTATCTTGTTAATAGATTTTTTCCCAAATTAATTTTCTCATATATCAATAATTCATTGTCTTTTCTCTTAAGAGATGACTTTCTGGAAACCAATATTAATGTTTCATACTTTTATTACTATTTTGCAACACTTTAGTATGTTAATGCATCTTTATTTAAATTGCTTATCTTAAATAAGTTTAACTAGAAACAATTCAGAGTTTCTCGTCAGCATAAAACGATTTTTTAATTTCTATCTTTTATACTGTTTTTGTGTTTACAAGAATTGTAAGTATATTTCTATTTTTATATACTATTTTGTGCTCACTTTTTTATATTTACAAGAAATTCTAGCCTATCTAGAAAGTTTAATCCATCTTTAATCCTTAAAAATTTTGGCTCTTAGTTGTTGATCTGTTTTGAATGTTGTTTGTCTATCATTTCAGACCTGATGGTTGGCGTCGATTCTCTAATCCATGTCTGCTTTTTTATTGTTTAGGGAAGTGCATTGATCAACCGATCGACTTTTAAAATGATTGGCTAGCAAATATGACAAAGAGATAGAGAGAAAAAGCTAGTGAAGTTAAAAGGAACAAACTATTCCTGCTACTGTCGCGATGTCCATTAAAATATCGGTTTATAAACTCGTTTTGTAGTTTGATTGTGGACACGTGTTCATCACTACAGTTACGTTAAAACTTCCTAAAAACTGTACTCAAATTCAAATCTAAAATATTGAATCTCTATATTGTGTTCATAAAGTGGATGGTCTCATTGATTTCAATGACTTTAATATGTTATCAAAATCATTTTTCTGAACAATTTTTGCTATATCTGCTTGTTATTATTTAGTCTTATTTTCTAAAATATTTACGAAAAACTTTTGTTAAACTTAGATTACAAGTACTTAATTCTCCAATTATCCAACATGTACTTGTAATCAGTCATCTATTGCATTTATCGCGATTCTAACTTAAATTTTTATGAATCCATTTTTAGAAAACGATCAATCGCAGTAGAAATAAAATATTCTTAACGATCTTTGTCTATTTTCCTACTAGACAAGAAGACAATTCACATCGAAATAGTTAACGATTTGGTTATCAATATATTCCTGTCTCAAACATTTATTTCGACAACGAGCTTCATAAATGATGAAACAAGAAATAAAAGGGCGAGTAAATCGCAAGAAAGTATATTATTCGCGTGATTCAGATCACATCACAATGATCTAACGAATTAAGTCGGTTGCTAACACATCAATTAGGATGTGATTCCATCATATCTCGATGGCCTTTGGGAAGCCACGGAAGACAATGAAATACCATCTTCGCGTCGTAAGAAAATATTGTTATCCTACAAAGTTTTATTAACATTCAAATCGAGGCAATCCTTAATTCACATCTACTAATTCTAGTTTCTTCAGATTCGAATAACAGATTCGACATAACAATTATAACTAGTCATTTCAAATAAACCATCAGTACAGCTATCTTTTTGGCAACATAAAATTAAGATGTTTTCAAAAATTAAGACTTTGAAAACTTTTGAAAACGAATGATGATTTTACGAATAAATTAACAAATAATGTACGATACCAAAATGCCAATGACATAATAAGTAATGTCAAATAGCAGTTAAAGCCTCTAATAATAGCGATAGTGAAATGATAGATTTCCAAATCCGAGATCCCAATTATATACGTAGTTGTAAATACTCATCATTGCGTAATTATAACTAAATTAACCACGATATTATTTAATTATGCAGCGAATGTGGACAATATAGAAATGTAAATATGTACTTATGTAACTAATATGTACTATCTAATTCATCGTAACATATCTAGTTTCATAATTACATGTAATCATAGCTATAATTTCATATTGTTTAGCTTATTACTTGTGCGCACAAATTTTACTACTTGATTTCATATTGAATATCCAAGATGGACTGGAGAAAAAGGTATAACAGGATATACATTAAAACTTGATATTTCAACGGTTAGCATTACGGTGAAATAAATGCGTGTAAGTTCGCGCGATCAAATTCTCCAAAACATAAAATCGTCGCGTCTTAATTAATTTCGCATACTATTCAGAATAAACAAAGAACTTTCAACTTTCAAATATTCAGTTTCAACAAAACTTTCGAATCATTTCATGTAGAGACATTAATTTGTCGAGAAGATACATTTATTTTTCATAATCTTGGATCCATCACTTCGACCTCAATATATATCTACAATACGTCCGGTTTATCTGAGAACATTCGAATGTTTTGGAAAATATGAATGAAATGAAAAACTTTAGATGAAAGTTTTAGATAAAACTTGGACAATTGACAAAGAAATTGACAAAGAAATGGACCAATAATTGATCTTGTATTTATTTGATCTTGTAGTAATCTTAAGAAACCTCATAAAAATCATGTTTGTAACTCATATAGAAATGTTTTCAAAACAAACTATACTTGTGGTTTTCGTATAAATAATCACCAAAATATGAGCTTTCAAATTTCATAAAATGGACATATTGTGTATTATACAAAATGTTTTCTATTGAGTGGTATAATTAGAGAAGTGATTTATTCTCAAAATAAGTCGAAAAGATAGAATAAAATTTTTTTAATTAAAATTCTATTTTCGAGAAAATCAAGTTTAAAATCAGGTATATTTAAAGTTAATTCTAGACTAATCAGAAATAACTAAATAACAGGAGATTATTCTATCCGCGAAAATAAAGTCTAAAATACAATTTTTCCATAATATCCTTCGTTTTTGAAAAAATTTAGTTTCAAATAGTAAACCAATTAGTAAACCAATGTTTAACGAAATACGTTCTGTTTTCTTTAAAACTTAGCTTTTAAACGAAAAAATTTCATTTTATATTCTCAATTTATTTTCGCAAGAATAATCTCCTACTAATTATTTACTACTGTCTAGTCTAGAATTATATACTATTATTAAAAATATACTTATATTAATAATTAATTAATAATTAATTAATAATTATAAATTTTTAAACTCGATTTTCTCAAAAACAAAGCTTTAAATGAAAAATTTTTTTATTTTTTCCTTTCAATTTATTTTTTCATGTAGAATCACTATCAGAAATATATTACTTTGCGTTGGATCAGATATCATTCGAAGAAAATATGTATCAAATACCAAGCACGACCAATAATATATTTATTTACAAGTAAAATACAATATACAAGTTAATTGCACATAAAACAGGTCATCTGAATATCTTTCCTATGATAGTGTGAGAATTGTTATTAACATAATTGTTTTAAGAGATGAGTAAGATGGAAAATTATTTGTTTGTAAATACTTTTTTGTTTTTTTCAAGGTCATTCGTATTTTTTGTATTCATATGCACATAATTTTTTCTGTTCACATGTAACTAACATTATGTATTTATTCATGTAAAATACTTAAATTGACCTTAAAATGACTTTAGAATTTAAAATTTTTAAATGAGAGTGTAAATAAAAACTGTTGTATAAATTCGTTATTAGTTCTCTCAAGGTTTTGCTCATTACTAGTTCTCTTATTATATTTGTAATTCATAATGCAAAAGCAGAAAAAGATGAAAAAAATGAAGTGTTTATAAAAATGAGGAAAGTGTTTACAGAAATATAGCCAAACTGTATATTTATTTATATTAATTAGAAAAAATAAAAATATATATTAATAAAAATGATGAATGAAAATATTAATAAAAATTTCTTTCCGATTTGCAGCAAACATAAGATGATATTTAT